TGATGGTTGAAAAAATTAGCAAACTGTGCAGATGGATCAGGTACACTTACTCCAAATACGTTATATTCAAACCTTTTATTTTTTTAGAGAAAATGCTAGAGAATGTTCCACATTGTTTTGCTGTCTGCAGGAACTTACCCTTGGAATCTAATTTTTTTCAATCATGTAATGAGAAAAATAGAATGTCTGAGGATTGCAAATCTATAGCCATAAGAAACTGTGTACAATATTTTCTGTATATTGAACGTTACAGTACTTTATTTTACATGTATTATAGACAATAATGTATATAGAAAGGAAATAATAAACTGTTTAACATAATTAGGTTAGTTGTTCTAATTGACTCTAATTGTTGGTCTCTGAAACATATCATTATACACATTTAAAATGTTTTTAAAAATGGCCAGTAACATGCAGGAGGAGGTGGAAATTGCTTGTGCCAGTCCACGGATGGGGAACGCCCAGCCTAGTAGAAACCATGGCTGACTCAGTTTCAAGTGAAATAATTGGAAAGAATCTTAGGTGGAAGATTAAATTGCTAGAGAAAGGTATTCAGGTGGGTAGCCTTGTTGGTCTGAAGCAGCAGAACAAATTTGAGTCCAGTGGCACCTTTAAGACCAACAGAATTTTATTCAGAGTGTAAGCTTTTGTGTGCAAAGTGCACTTCTTCAGATAAATTGGAATGAAATCTCCTCAAGGGCTATTTACAGGAAAAGAGAGGGTGGGGGCAGCCGTTAGGAGTGGCCACTCAGAGCCCAGATGCAGATGGATCAGGTGGCCGGTAAGATCAATGTGAGAATGAAGTCAGAGTCCAGCAGTACCCCCAAGACAGACCAAGCTCAATCCTGTGCACATGTGAGAACAGAGACTCAATGTGTGCACACTACTCCAAATACAGTGAAACAGATTTCCTCAAATATTACATGCAGGTGGGGGGGGGTTAGTTGCAAGGAAGAGCTGATTACAGTCAAGATGCTTAAGTAACTGAGCAATAAATATAGCTAAGATTGGAATAACATATAGTAGCACATGTAAATAGCAGCAATTTGGCATACAGATAATAAAAGGTGTTAACAATAGATGGAAGAATGAAGTTTGAGTCCAGTGGGGTCTGTAAGACCAACTGTATGTGAAGTAGCGTGCACATGTTGAGACTCTGTTCTCACATGTACACAGGATTGATCTTGGTCTGTCTTGGGGGTGCTGCTGGACTCATTCTCACATCTCTTTGTTGATTCTTGCATTTATGTGCTAATTTGCTGCCATTCATTGATCTTACTGGCTACCTGATCCAATTTCAGCTCTGCATCTGCATCTTGGCTCTGAGTGGTCCCTCCTAATGGCTGCCCCCACCATCTTTTTCCCCTGTAAATAGCCCTTGAAGAGATTTAATTCCAATTCGTCTGAAGAGGTGTGCTTTGCACATGAAAGCTTACTTTGAATAAAACTTTGTTGGTCTTAAATTTGCCATTGGACTCAAACTTTGTTCTAGAGAAAGGTATGTTTGTGTTAAGGGTGAAAATGGATTCATATTGCACCAGCTGCACAAAACCTACACAGGATTTTAAGATGCTACTGGAACTCAGATTTTATCCTTTCTTATGTATCTCAGGTTTTCACTGTCATTAATTAACCAAAACAGTAAAATGGTAGCAATCAATCTACCAGATTGTGTTACTGTTCATATATATAGAAGGGAGTTAAAAATCCCTTTGCCTGTTGCAGGAGGGGGGAGTTGAAAATCCCTTTACCTGTTGTGGGAATAACTCAGTAGGCAGATCCCCACTTTCAGTCCTTTCTCATTTAGTAATATGGCTCCTATTTTAAATTAGTTGTTGACCAGGCCTCTATTCACTGTGCCACAACTATGGAAAAAGCTGGCTGTTTTCTCCATTGATTCTTAGTAACTTTCACTGTGAGCTGTTTCTTGTTTTAGTACAAATATAACTAGTAAAAAAAATTAACAGGTTTGTTAAACTACTTGCTATGGTTGTGAGATCTAACCCAAATGGAGTTGTGATAGCCCTAGTACTTGATGAAAAAGTTCTGTTCAACAGTGCTGGTTGTCTACCCAGTTGCTATGGAATTAGGCCTTGTACTTGATTCTTATTCTTCTTCATTGCTGAGTTTCTTAACCTAATTACAGAAAGCACGTTTTACTTTTGAGATTAAAAGTCTAGTAGGAAAAAAGCCTAAAGCAATTACCAGTAATTAAAGGCAGCAATCTGTCCAGCCTGATTGGCTTTTAATTTATCTAAGGACCAGAATCCTTTGGGAGGATTCAGTCTATTTTCTTGTTCTAACAGAAGAGAGGATAATATGTCTCAGATTTCATCAGCTAGCCTAGTCATGTCTACTCTGAGTGGCAAGGGTTCTTCTCTGCCATGACAATTTAAAAATTAGTCAAAACCAAAACTGTTCTGGACAATCATTTCAAAAAGTAGGGATCCAACCTAACCACATTCTGATTTGGTCCAGGCTGTCCAATTTTGGGGGAATATGGAGATAAGCTAGAGAATACAGGATATATCAACCATTGTGGCCATAGCAGTTAGTGTGTTAGACTAGGAGTGCAGAGAGCCAGGTTCAAATCCTAACTCTGCCAGGGAAGCTTGCTGGGTGATTTGGGGGCTAATCATGGACCTACCCCAAGGTTATTGTGAGGATAAAATGTATGTCGCTTTGGGTCCCCTTTAAAGAGAAAGGTGGGTGTATATATGGAATAAAATAATTTAAGAGAAACTTCTGTATAAAACTGCTGCAATGAAATCCATAAAGATGTTTGATACAGTCTTCCAACAACATAACAAGGCCCTGGGATTTCACAGTGTTTTATCAGTGCAGCAAAACTAGGGAAGTTCCATTTTCACTACTATTGTGAATAATCTCTTCTTGGTTACTTTTTATTTTACATAATTACACTCCACTCTACATTTCCTGTATTTCATGGTCTTTTATGTTGGTTCACATTTTTTCCCTTCAATCACTAACAAGGATCCATTACAGGCATCAGATTAAATGGACTATATGAAAGTTTGTTAGAATAAATTTTGTTAGTCTTTAATAGTGCAGTCCTGAAGAGAGTTACACAATATCAAGGATCTTAAAAGAGTGTAAATCTGCTTAGAACTGCACAGTAAAGTTTTGTAATGCAGATGAGTCTAAAAGGAATCCTGTACTGGGAATCATCCCAGTTTTGTTTTCTGAGATGCTTCCGTGGCCTTAGTTTACAGATAGCAAACACCAAACCAGCCCAAATGGATTGCCCTAGAGCAAGGGTGGCCAAACTTGCTCAGCGTAAGAGCCTCATAGAATAGATGCCAGATGTTTGAGAGCTGCAAGACATGAACAAATATTGCACACGTTTTATTTTTAAAATATGCAAATTTGCCTTTTATTAACATTAAATGTGACTGCCAAAAATAAAAACCAAATGGGGTCAAAACAGATATTGATAATATTTATTTGTCCAATGATATTTACTTGTTTGCTAATGATATCTATTTGTCTAAGAGGGAGAGAAAAAGAGAGGTGGAAAGAAAGGATGAAAGAGGTGGAAAGAAAGATAGAAACAAAGAAAGCAAATAGATGGGAGGGAGGGAGAAAAAGTATGCTTCCCCTTCACTTCCCCAGCTGTCCTGCTGGAAGCCACACAATATGTGTGAAAGAGCTGCATGTGGCTCCCGAGCCACAGTTTGGCCACCCCTGCCCTAGAGATAGTGATTTCAGGGTGAAGCGCCAGAGTCTTTGCCAAATGAAGTGGAACAAAAAGGATTGAAGGGAAGTCAAAATGCTTTTGATATTTGCACTTTTCTAGGAGTAGTCCAACTGAATATATATGAGTCAGGCATTAGCAGACTGATTTTCGCTTCAATGAGACAGTATGTAAATAAATGATAAAGGGTGCTCCTCAGGGCTCAGAGAATGCATTGTCATCACACTGAAAAACTGCTGCCAAGCCTTTCAGTTTCCTGTCAACCGCTAAGAAGTGGGCTGTAGTACATGAAATCTTATGCTGGAATAAAATACCAATAGTCTTATTAATGACTACTGGGGAATACACAACTTTAAAAGGCTGACTGAAAAAATTTAAATTGTTTTAAAAAATTGTATTCCTTGGCTCCATCAGCCAAAACCAAGAAATCAGACTGAGACTGAAAAGGACAGTCATGATCATGAAGAGCTAGAAAAGATTAAGTTTAAGAATGTGTTGGTGGGGTCCAAAGTGAAGACAGTTCATATCATTGACCATTACAATGTATGGAGTGTGAAAGTCTAACAGTTAAAGCGGACAAGAACAAAGTTGATTCATTTGAAATGCGGTGTTGGAGGACAGTTTTATGGATACTGGGGACTGCCAAAAAGACTTCTAGATCAAATCGAGCATGAGCTCTCCCCAGAAGCTTAAACGACCAAACTGAGGCTGTTGTACTTTGGTTACATTATGCGAAAACAAGAGTCATTGGAAAAGACAATAACGCTAGGAAAAAATGAAGGCAGCAGGAAATGGGGAAGGCACAATATGAGATGGACTGACTCAACCAAGGAAGCCTCAGTTTGCAAGACCTTAGCAAGGCTGTTAAAACGGTAGGGCATTTTGGAGGTTATTAATGCATACGGTCGACATACGTCGGAAGTGACTTGATGGCTCTTAAAGCACTTCGCTCACACACATACATCAAGCTATTATTTAGTTAAAGTGCCCCACGGCTCCTGCTTATTCCCTTAACCTAAAAAAGCCCTCCAAAGGCCTTTTCAGTCACCTGACCTTACGTGCCCTGGAGCGCCAATTTCAAAACAAAGACAGTCCCCGCGGGCGACGGAATCACGTCCAAAGCCGCGATCTCCCACCCACGTGACCTCCTCGCCCGCATTTTACCCTCCCGCTCCGCCCTTCGCGTTTGAGCTGTTTAGACCCTCGTACGTTGCCGTGCACGTGGTGACGTAGACGAGCCCGCGCTCCCATTGGCTGATTCAATCGTCGCGGGCTACTTGAACAGCGAAAAGTGGAGCGGGCCTAGAGAGTGAACAGCCGCGGAGTGTCGCAGATTCTCGGCGGTGGCGCGAGTCGCCGCTTTCCCCCTTCCCGAGTTCGTAGTCAAGCACCGCTCTCATCATGCTGATGAGCTCCGCCGCCAGTTCGGACCAGGAGAACCAAGAGAATGTCCCCCCGGGGACGAAGGGCGCTCCCCTCTTGGTCGCCGCTCCGGGCACCCGGACGGTGTTGGGACTTCTGCGGGACAATCAGCATCGCTTGGCCCAGCCACAGGTACGGGAGGGGCTTAGAAGGCTGGCTGCTCGCCTGCCTGCCTTCCCCTGGGGCCGGGGGTCTTGGCCTGTCTCCACCCCCGCCATCTTAGAATCGGGCGTGTTCCTCTTCGGCCTCTCCTCCTTCCTTCCCATCTCCTGTCTCTGGGTTGGAGATGCGGGTTGCTTTCCGTCCGCGTCGCGCCTTTTGAAATTCTGGAGGGAAAAGAGCGCTGGTTCGGGGGGGAGAAAAAACCGGGGGGGGGGGGGTGTTACGAACAGTGCGGGGTGCTGGGAGGGCTCTGCTCCTCCAGTCTCTACCCTTATGGCCTCTTGCCTGCCCCCCATCAGAGGGGCACCTAAGTGGCCAAGAGTGGCTTGGCGCCCGTGGGTTGTGCGAAGTAGAGCTTGTGATAAGGAGGGTGGCTCTCGAGTTACTAAATCACGCGATAAGGTGTGGAGAACCGAGGAGTATGCACAGTCGCTAATGGTTACTCTTTTTGGTGTAGGTTCCTCTCTGTCAAATACCGTGGAGTACTAATGATGAGAACTACGTTGACATTCCAGTTGGCAAAATGGGGAATAAGCAACCTGCTTTTACCATCCATATGGATGAGCCTGAGAGTACGACCAAAGAAAAATGGTGCAACCAAAAGGACTTTGCCTAATAAGGAGTACCTGGCCTTGGAAGCTGCTGTGGCCTCAATGGGCAGCAGGAAACCTTTGACTCCTATAGAGAATCCAATGGATCTTGGCTCTGGTGAGAATCACTTTGTGTCTGGTAGGAATAGGCAATGCACAGTAACACCTCCTTGTTTTCAAGGAGTTGCCCTGAATTATGGTGGTGTTGCTGGCCCTCACTGATCTTTCTGGCAATGGTCAACATGAGGAATGAATATTGGTGTGTGGGGGTTTTTTTGGGGGGGAGAATTACGGACACATAGTTGAATTGGCTGGGAGGGCGGGGTAAAAGTTCAATAAATAAATTTAAGTATATATTGTGCTATATAATCATACTTCCTAGATCTTGTTTGAACAGGAAGATCCAGATAAAGATAAAGACTGATGAGGGTAGTGTGGTCAAAGTTCAATTATAGCATATATCTATTCATACACTAGCTCCAAAAGAATACCCTTCAGTATCTGAAAAACAAAAGTCTTATGAACTAAGTTGCCGCCTGTGGAAAAGATTTTTGTTAATTCCCCCTTCATGGTGCTCTTGAGGGTCCCCCATCCCCGAAGGAAAGGAGGCATTTTCAGTTTCCCTATGAGGAGGCGACAGCAAGGATGTTGTGTTTTCATGCACAAAAAGACTTCCATGAACTGAGGTTTTTTGACAGGATCTAACCCAATATACTTAATGGCACAGCTACTTACAGGACTATACTTGGGCAACAGCAGCTGGTTTTGAAATGCTGTTATAGGGCAAAATGACTGCTTCACTAGTGAAGAACTGTTTTCTTCATATTCCTTTGTTTTCCAGTGGAGAAGTTTTTAAATTGCTTTTGGGGACATTCGTTATAAACTTTCTTGAAAAATAGCTGTATTCCTCAAATATCCTGAATAGTCACCTGGAACATTCAAAATTATTCTGCTTCTTACTTTTTTCAATTTAGCAATTTGTTTGCAGTATTTGTACATCAGGAGTGGGTAACCTTCTTGATCTGAGTACTTTAAAAAGTACAGAAGATGCTAAAAGTACAGAAGATGTTAGCCTGGCTGTGAATAAGAATTGTGCTTGGCTACAAACATACTACGAACAAGCAGTGCAGCCAATGCCTTGGAAGCACCTGGAGTAGAGAATCAGCCCTGTGTCTTAAGCAACTTTTGGAATGCCACAGTTTGGCACATAAGCTCTGGAATGCCTACCTGTGCTGTATATTTTGTATATACATCTGGCTGCAAAGTGTGCAAACCTGTAGTGTGCAATCAAGACTATAAGTGCTGTTCCTTAACTCTCTCTTGTCTTGCTGTAATCTCACTTCCTTGCTCATCATCATATCCTCCTCTGGAGTGCTTAAATTGGCAATCTAACAGTTCTGGTCATAGGAATTCACTTTTAGGCAGGAGAGTAATTAAGGGTGTCTGTTATACAGTTTCCACGAGGGAGGAAAGGGCTTTAGTATCTCTGACTTCTGAAAGTGCAAGTGACTTTTCATCCATCTACCTGGAAGGTGCCTTCTTATGGAGGACTGCACGTAAATAAATTCTCCAAAGGCCGAAGTTGCAATCTGATTAGTTCCATCCATTGGAATAAGACTTTAGTTACTCTGGTTTTCTTGGTGTTATACATGGAATGCAGAGAAAAGGTCTTAAGGCCAGGCCTTTAAACATCTCCTCTTCCTTCTCCTTGATATTTTGTGTGTGAATGTTTAACACTCAGCCTGAGTTAACACTTTTCAACTTGAAGTGTTTTGGTATTCCATAGTCTGTGTATTGAGATTTTTGCTTTGGATCACCATGAGCACCTGTAAATTTTGTGTGTGTGAGAGTATGTTGTTTGTGTGTATGTGCTTGCGAGCCTGGAAGTCATGGTGACTTCTGGCGACCTCTAGTGGGGCTAGGACATTTCAGTGAGGTGGCTTATATTACCTGCCTCTGCAACCCAGCTCTGGTATTCCTTGGAGGTCACACTTCCAAATACTTGCCAGGGTCTGCCCTACTTAGCTTCTGAGAGGAGTACCCGTAACTTTTCTAGTATGTGGTGTGTTTTCCCAAATAATTGTAATGTAGCTTAATGAAGCTGGCTGAGCCACATTGTTGCTGAGTCTGGAGCCCACACTGGGGAGAAGATGTGAGCAGAGAAATACACACTGACATCCTGATATGTAACAAGAACGTCTCTCATTACATTTGTTCTGTATTCTACTTACATGACTTCATGAGATTAAGAACTTGCACTATCTTTCTGTATCGTGCATTTTAGGGTCTCCAAGTATAATGGACATGTCAATAGTCCAAGACATAGAAGAAAGAGTAAACGTTAATCATGTACCTGACTACATTGACGACATCTTTAAGTATCTCAAGGAAATGGAGGTAAAACACCTTGGTATGGCACGGGGGAGAGATGTTACCTATTTAGGCTTCTCAAATCTTGTAAATGTTGTTTTATGATGTTGTTGCTAGGATATTAGGCCCATACCCTTTTTCTTATCCTCTTATAGCCTTGTCCAAGGAACACTGTGGAGGTATAAAACAAAGGCTGGTCTAAACTTTTAGTAGAATAAGGTAATAGAATAGACTACATTGTTTTAACTGTTCCTTCACATAAGCTCCCTGCAGACAGAAAATGAGCATAGCATGGGAAGGATTCTCTTCCCATTCTTTGCCTGCTGTGCTGACTTTCTGCATTGCAAGGAATTTTAATGTGGAATACTCCAAAAATGTGTTGGTGCAATCTCTTTGACCCTCCTGTCGTTCTACCGCTTCATTCTACTGCATTTGTAGACCAGGCCCATATTTAATAGATATGCTGATGGTGGGTTTCAGCATGAGAAGTCATGTATCCTATAGCTCTTCTGTTCAGGGTGGAAAGCAAACGTTGCTGGGATTGGGGTAGGTGAGGAATTACTACCAAATGGATAAGTAACCTCATTAGTAGCTGCTTTGGTGCTGGCGCACTAGCTGAACATACAATTGGAACTGGTGGTTAAGTGGCGCAAATGAGATGGGCAGGTAAACAGCAGACTTGCAAGTGACAATGGTTAATAAGCCTCTTCCGGCTGCTTCTCCCCGTGTGAGAGAAGATGGGTTGAAGAAGGTAAGGAGAGGCAAACAGAAACAAACTGGTCTCGTGAGTACAAGGGAGGGTGCCCAAGCTGCCAGTTTTGTAGTATTTGGAGGGCATCTTCCCATATAGTTGCCACTGGACTACATTGGGAAAAGCTAGGGCTGGGTTTGCATTTATGTTGGTCTAACCATCTCTTTACATGTGTTCATAATCATAAGTAGCTGTTGTGGAGTAAGTGGGCAATCTCAATGCTGTCTCTGGCTACATTACAAAGTTGGTTCAGAGCTTTTACCTAAGCAAGGTGAAGTAATGTTTAATATTCATGAAAATGGCTGCCCATCACTTGTAGCAGACAGTCTTTTCTGTACAAAATCCAGAGTTTGGGCCAAAATAGTGAAGACTTGATGACCTCTTTGATGCCAGCTGTTAATATCTGCTAGCAATCTTGTAATGCAAAATACATGTAGCTGCCATTTGACTACTATGCAGGGGATGGACAGGTGAAATAGAAAAAAGAAACTATTAAGTGCTTTCTCTTCTTTAGGTGAAATGCAAGCCCAAAGTGGGTTACATGAAGAAGCAGCCAGATATTACAAATAACATGCGAGCTATTCTTGTGGACTGGCTAGTGGAAGTTGGTGAAGAATACAAACTGCAAAATGAGACTCTTCACCTGGCTGTAAACTACATTGACAGGTTTCTTTCTTCTATGTCAGTACTAAGAGGGAAGCTTCAACTTGTAGGAACTGCAGCCATGCTGTTAGCATCGTAAGTAAAGCAAGCTTATTTTAGAACACTAAACAGAGCGGATGCTGTTTTCTCTCTAATAAAACAAAGCTCTTGCATTCCTAGCATCTTTACATTTAATCAAAGACTGTTCTAATACCTGATATTACCTGAACTTCTCTACCAGTATTAAAATCAAAGTATATTCTATGTTAACGCAAATACAGGATATATGAAATGCATAACTGCGCTTAGGGATAGCTATGTCTATAAAATCATGTTACAACTTTGGATGAAACTTTCCTGATGTGTTACTACATCAGTGGGAGCATCAAGTACTAAGCACTGTGTCCTGGCCACCTTCAAGATTTCCCCAAGCAATACTTGCAGTTGAAAGCTTTTATTTGACTCTGCAAATTCTTGTCAGTTTCAAGCAAACATAGTATTAAGTGGCCTCTGCGCTTCATGACAGTAATGCATTAATATAAAATGCAAGAATGAGGGGGGGAGGTGTCTGTAAAATGATCTGCAGGCAATACTGCTTTTCTTTCTATTGTAGGAAGTTCGAGGAAATCTACCCTCCTGAAGTGACAGAATTTGTTTACATCACAGATGACACTTACACAAAAAAACAAGTCCTAAGGATGGAGCACTTAGTTCTAAAAGTTTTGTCATTTGACTTGGCAGCACCAACTATAAACCAGTTCCTTTCTCAGTACTTCTTACACCAGCCAGCTTGTTCCCAAGTGGAAAACCTGGCAACGGTGAGTGTCTCCATTCTTTGGGAAAGATCGTAAATTTGAGGAAGAGGTCAGGGGATCCCTTGGCTTAATGCAATACTAGAAAGATGTGAGGTTTGAAAAGCACAATGTTTTCTTGTCTGGTTTTTAACATGGATAGTTGTGGTAAATTCCACTTGAAGGCTGAATGCAGATGGATTCTGACACTGAGGCCTTTAAAAAAACACTACATACAGCGTGTCCCTTCTGTAGGATCCAGAATAAAGGAGGAGCTCTTGGAGGATATTTCATGGAGCAGCTCCAACTACACATTTTGCTAGTAAAAAGCCAGCTGGCAAGAAGAGGTGTGGGGCTCTTAACACTGTTGAAAGTAGCTGCAGAGTGTCAAGGCACCTAAACAGAAGTCCCTGTGGTACAACCTGCTGTGCTTGTTCCAGGTAGTGACCAAGTGAGGAAGGGGAAAGGCAGAAGAACTTTTGGCCCTTTTGTGGAGAGCATGAACTGGAGGTGGCTTCTTTTATAGCAGGGCTGCCACGAGGCACAGCAGATGGAGTATTGGACTGGGGTCCTGGGAGACCTGGGCTTGAATCCTCACTGTGCCATGGAAGTTTGCTGGGTGGCCTTGGGCCCATCACAAATTCTCAACCTGACCTACCCTGAAAAGGGAGGGGGAGAGAATGTTCGAAGCTGCTTTGAGTTCCAACTGGGCAGAAAAGCAGGCTTATAAATAAATTCAAATGCATAGTTCAAAAGAGACTCCAGATGAGCTCTGTGTACTTCTGCACCATAAATACATACAGCTAAGGTAGTCATGATAAAAAGCATAATTCTTATAGACTTACAACGATGTCTTGGTATCATAAGAAAGCAAACATCTTTTTTCCCCCCTCTACAGTATTTGGGAGAGCTAAGCCTAATTGATGCTGACCCATTCCTGAAATACTTGCCATCGGTCATTGCTGCTGCAGCATTTCATATAGCAAACTACACAATTACTGGAAGAACCTGGGTAGGTATACAAACATATGACCCTTAAATGTATGCCGTAATACTTGAAATTGTTAAGCATATCAGCAGTTTTTCTCATATGAGAAACTTTATGCTTTCAAGTAGGTGAATTCTTAATTAAACATACAGGTTCATAATTGACACAGTTCATAGGCAAATCCTATACATCTTTGCTTTGATGAAAGTTCAGGTGCATAGATCCCAGAGTGTAAATGTTCTTGTGCTGAAGTCCAAGTGTTTTGAGCTTAATTCATTTGGTGTTAAACAAATGACTACCTTTATAACTTAACCTCTGCATCTTTCAGTCCAGTCATAACCATATGCTATAAAACTCCCCACCTAAGGCACTCGGAAGACTAACAGTGCCATCTTAAGCAGCGTTACACCCTTCTATTTGCACTGAAGTCAATGGGACTAGAAGGGTGTAATGTTGTTTAGGGTGCCATTTAAATTTCCTACAACATACAAGCAAAAATGATGCTGCGAAAGAGCATGGCATGCTTCAACACCTAGCATGCAAACATGGAATCACTGAGACTGCCTAGACACTCTTCCTCTGTTGACACATGCAAGAAAAGCAGAACTGTCTTTCCTGCCCAAAAAGGGAGAGCTGCTGTTGGTATAGAATGTCACAAACTTCTGCTTTGCTTCAATACTTCTGCAGTTACAAGAACAATCCTGTATTTGATCTACCGTACCACAAAGGCAGTCATTGAGTAACTAACATTGTTTTCCCTGGCAGCCTGAATCTCTTGTTAAAGTGACAGGATACACAATAGAAAGTCTTCAGCCTTGTCTCATGGATCTCCACCAGACCTACCACAGAGCAGCACAGCATACGCAACAGTCCGTAAGGGAAAAATACAAGACGTTAAAGTAAGTGGCAGCAAATAAATGAGGAATTACAGAATATTATGAGAGGTCTTCTGCACAAGTATAGCTAACTTGATTGAGTACTCCTAGTCTCCAGCTTGCTGAGTAATCACCAGCTAGTTACTGTCTCAGCCAAGCAGGCCTCAGGGGGTGGTTGTGGGGGACGACGACAATGTAATCTGCTTTGAGTTAGCACTGGAAGAAAAGCAAGACATAAGTCTATTAACTTAGTATATTGTGCTTATATTTCAAGTGTTCATGTAACTTGTCTCTTTTTCAGGTACAATGCAGTATCGCTCATTGAACCACCAGAGAGACTAGACTTATAACAATCAAGAGACTGAGGCTCTCAAAGGTGTATATTACCCACAACAGCAATGTACAGTTTTAAACTTTTACTTATACTTCAATCACTCTGGTATATTACCACAGAAAATTATGAAGTTTTCTACTTTTATAAGGTTTTAATGTAATGTAAACTTTTGTAAATGCAATCTTGTTCTAAGTACTTAGGTGGTGCTCTTTAAAGTTCTGGGGAAACAAACCATGCCGGTAAACCACTTAAGTCACTCCTCATAGTTTTAAGGAGAAGAGCAGCATATCTAATTAGGGATTTTGACTCTAAACGACAGATCAAGATAGCTTGGAGTCAGTCAGCATGCTTGAGATACTACGAGTCAGTCCTTTTCCAGACTCAAAGGTTACTACAGGATATTTTGATACGTCAGTTAGCAATTTAATGTTTACAATTAGCAAAACGATGCTATTAGGCCTCTTCCAGCTAACAACTAAAATCTCAAGCCAGCTGCTGGAAGCCTGTAACATACACAGGGCTGCAAAACTACAAGGCACTGAAGGTGCTTACAAAACACTGCGTGAACTATGACTCTGGCCAGCAGTTTGGAGTCAAGGAAACAACTGGTAGGTCTCCTGCTGTGAAAATAACTGCTGGAGTCTGGAAACTGCCTTGGCTCTGGTATCGATGGAGCAACAGTTAATCTTTGTTGGTATTTGTCAGACTAGGCTTGGCTTTTTGACCTACAGGTGCAATGGCTATGTATTCAAGACTAGAGTTAGAAGGATAATGCAGTGCTGAACAATGCTCCCCTTAACCACTGCAAAAAGGGCAAGCTCAGCAAACCTCTGCAGGGGGAACATATCACTACGCTCCCGCTGTAGGCAATGAAGGCCAGTTGTTCTATTTTCACTACAATTAAGAGTACTGACACAGAAGAAGTAGTGGGCATCTTGCATGAATAAACCCTAGTTCAAAAGGTTTTCTATATTTGTAAGAATGGGTATTTTATACTTTTATCAGTAGAACTGTGTTCTTGTAAACCAGACTAATGCTGCTTGCTGTGCTTACGGTGAACCAAACCATGGGAAGAGCAAATGTAAACTATCTTGAAGCTGGCCAATAAAATCCTATAAAAAAAGACTATGTCTCAAACAACTTTATTGATCTACAGAATGGAATCAACTCCAGGTTTGGGCTGGAGTTAAGAGGCCGTGGGGGAGGGGGCACAGAGAAGAGCTGCAGATGTCAGGCAACTCTTCATATCTAAGAGTGACGGAGTCAGCAGCAGGAAAACATTGCAAGAGTCTGATCCAGAGCTTTTCTCCTGCCCTGTTCCTCTCATCATTCCAGCCCTTGTGCCATATGGCTTTGAAGGAAGGATCTAACAGGACCCTCATTTTCACTAGTATGCCAGATCGATGCCTCTAGAAACATTAAACCTGGTACCATTAGGATCTAAGTCCCTCAGAGAATGTGGGAAATATCAAATATTTTACACATGGGAAGGAAGAAAAGGGCCAGGCTGGCTGCCTAGCAGTATCACACAGATACAAAAAGGGAAACATCACCACTCCACTGAGCAAAGTTCAAAGGCTTCCTTTAGGCTGAGGTAGGATACACGCCTATAACAATAAAAGGATGAAATAAAGCTAGCCATCTCAAGAGTACCAGCTTCAGCATTGGGCAAGGGAAGAGCATACCCAGATTATCTCCAGAACATCCCTTTCCTATTTACACTGAAAGGGATGGTTTACTCACAATAGAAAGTGGAGGCAGCACAAACAGGGAAGGTGAACAATATTCTTAACCCCTTTCTCTGTGGGTGTATACGTCCATATTCAAGGAATGTCCCAGCAATCACTGAATATCTTCTAGCTATCTACTTTTACAGATGAAAGTCTTCCTGCAAGCTAAGACAAACCAGAAGGCATAGGTATACAGATAAAGAACAAGATGGACTGTTCGTAAAGGAAACAAAAGAAGGGCCTATAGCTTTCACATTTTCCTAGAGGTACAACTACCATGATATACATCAACTGCTAATCCACCAATTTGCAATACTGGTAGAGTAAGTAACAGCAAAAGCTCAACATTTACTGGAGTGTTAAAAACGTCAGACTGCCTGCAGGATTTGATGAGAAATAATGGAAAGAGTCACTGTTGTGTTAGCTGTGGACTTTCAACGAAAACTTCTTGTTATTCCAACAAGTGACTAAAGATGATGAATTATATTCCCACTTGAAATCATCATCACATTTTGAGTAATGTCCAAAAATGGTGCTTGATGGAAAGTGTGCTGCTATAAATAAATAATAAACCTATATAATAAAACTAATTAAAACCCAAATGTTGTATGTTTTATACTTAGGTGTTCCAAATGATTTCTTTTAAAGAATATTTATTATCACACAAAATGTACTGAAAATATTTATTGTAAGAAAAATATATGGCCAAACATTGCTTTCAGTGTTAGCCCAGAGTGCACACAGACAGAACTCTTTATACTGTAAGCTCTGTGAGCTATGGGGTTGGCAAACTAATGAGCACAGGCTGGGCCCTGGTTTCTATTAAAAAAAAAACGCAACAGCAGGAGATGTGCAGCACAAGTTCTAAAATGTGAAGTTGCATGGAAAGCAATATGTCTACCGCAGAAATAATTTCAGCTGAATTTTATATTCCCGCTCTTGAAGTCTGATCATGAGATGTGCTACCACCAAAAGGGTTCATTGGGGAAAAAAAACTCACTTCATTCTATACACATCATTTAGGAAATGGCAGTGCTTTATTATAACTTAAGACAAATTAAATTAACAAAATATGCCAAAAACCTCTGGGTTTATACAAAGAAAGGTTTAATGTACAAAAATTTGGGCATTAATGTTTTTTATGTGAATAACTCTTACGCTTCTTTTTGCTACCTGTTTTTTTACTTGTGATGTCCTGTTTGTAAGAAGTCTCTGCTCTGTATGGGGAAAACAAGTATTTGAGTACGCATAAAAACCCAACCCAGCATCCTCTGCAACTACAATAATGGAATGGAACACAGTATTAATATTTTCTCCCTTCAGCATGAACTTTCACGTCAAAATCCTGCCAGTACATCAGCAGCAGAAATCATTAATCTCCTTCCCACCTTTGATATTCAATCTACTTATGAAAATTCCTCACTGTTTGAACTCAAAACGCCCTTAAATGAGACCCTTTTTTCCAGTCCCATGAGTCAGATCTGTGGTACTTTTAGTCATCTGATGTGGATTTTTGGTCCGCTTCTTCCCACAAGGGATTGCAGCAGGTAACAATGTAACAACAGTTTAACAATTAGGGGCAACTAAACAGGGCTGCGGTGGCTCAAGTGGTTAAAACACTGAACTGCAGGCTGTGGAAGGTCAGTAGTTCAGCAGTTCGAGACCCGGGTGCTGCATGACGGAGTGAGCTCCCGTCTCTAGTTCCAGTTCCTGCCAACCTAGCAGTTCGAAAGCAAGACATTGCAAGTAGATAAATAGGTACCACTTCGGTGGGAAGGTAACAGCGTTCCATCCGCCTTGGTGTTTAGTCATGCTGGCCACATGACCACGGAAACGTCTTCGGACAGTGCTGGCTCTTCGGCTTTGAAACGGAGATGAGGACCGCAACCCTAGAGTCGGATTCGACTGGCTTTCGAGCAAGGGAACCTTAAACAGGGCTGCTGGGGCAGCTCCCCCTCACCTTCCTCCAGACTCATCTTGATAGATGTCTCTGAATCTCAACCGGACAGACCTCTCTGTGCTATTTCTTGCTATTCCACCTCAATGTTTGTGTGCCTTACCTTCCACCCTGTATTAACTAATTCTTGTCCAAAACTATCAGTTAAGGAAAGTAGAGTTGAAATTACCTGTTCTTTTGTGCCCCTTCTGGCTCTAGAATGATAACATCTTCCTCTTCACTGTCCGATAACACGATTGTCTCATCTTGAAGATACAAGAAGATTGTTGTTTGCTACATCATTTCCAAGGACTGATTTACCTATATATTTACCACAGGAACTGGCTTGAAAGAATACCCTTATATGTATCTTTTCCAAACCAGTAATTACATTTTTCTACATTGTATGAAATTTTCCACTTCAGCCCCCTTGCTTTCCTGTCAGTGACTGGTGTGGACACATAAATTTTCTATGTGATCTGCAAGAACCACATGATAAGAATACTATGCTTGGCATGCTGTTTCATGGCAAATGTAACATACACTCTTGTACCAAATACATTATCAGGTCAAATATAGAATGTCACATACACTACTGTCCTAAAGAACGCTGTCACAGGAGTACCACTTTAGTACTAACTAGTATTTTTATCAACTGTATGTTTGCTGTCAACTCTACTATTTTCTATCCTTCAACAACAAAGTAGTATAGATGCCAAAGAAAACATGCCATTCATGAACCATTCTAGTCCCCTTCACTATAACTGCTTCTGGGATTGCAGAAGAATAGATAGATATTATGCAAGGCATTATTCATCTGCATTGTACTCAGTTCTAATTTCATACTGTTCAATGGCTGCAAGCTAAGACAGCCAGATATTATGCAAGGCATTATTCATCTGCATCGTACTCAGTTCTAATTTCATACAGCCAGTTCCAGAAAAATGGGAATAAACATGTACACAACTAGATGTGTTTTGGTAATTTTTACCACAGCTAATCATCTGGCAGATCAGACATGTAGGTTTCAAATGGAAAATCAGATCACCCATTCTGCTGTACAGTCAGCTGCATAAAACCTTCCAAACACTGCAGCTGCATCTATTTCTCCCTTAGTCATGTATATAGCAACATAGGAATGTACTCAAGAACTCCTGCTTACTTAGCAGACCTGTAATTTGAAACCACCTCTTCATTTTCCATTTCAAGAGCTTTTTAAAAGACATATTATTCATGAACCTACTAACCTTTCTTGTTTTTGGTTCCAACGCTAGTATCTCCCATTTCCATAGTTTGATCTTCTGTTGTTGGAGATTTTTCCTCAGGAATTTCCTCTTCTTCTTTTTCAGATTCCTCAAAATCTCCCCAAGAATTTTCAACCCCTTCACCAATCTGAGCAGTGCCAGGAGCCCATAATACTGGGTTGGCCAAACTAAGCTCATTAAGAAAAATCCAGAAGTCATCCAAGAATCATAATAGATAAATGGGTTACCTGGCTGAGACACAGCCCTGAATCTGTGACATTTTTCACCCTACAGATTGGAGTAATAAACTACCAACCAGTACTTTTCTGTAATAAACTACCACCACCCTTTTCTGACAGAAACTACCCTGTATAGTCTATGGGCTTTCTAGTGTCACCACCTTTTAATAAATTAATACATACTTAAATTTTGTGCAGCTCTTTCCTAAAGGCTGTGTTGCTATTGAGTAAGGACTAAGGGTTTCCCCTATACTGGCTGTACTATACTTCCTGCTCCCCACCCCCACCCCATTTGCTCTAATGATGTTACTTCCCTAAAGCTACATGCATTGTTTCTATTATTTGGGGTAGTTTTAATCCCCCAATGTATTTTAGATTTCAGATTTTCCTACCCAGTTAAAAATTAGATATATGATCTTGGTTTTCTTGCTTCTCTGATGTTGAATGTCAGTTCTAGAGCACTCGAAACTCTAGTATATGATTGGAAAGAACCGCACAATTTATCTGCTACAGCAAGGCTGCTGGCTAAGCCCAATCCCCAATTCATTACATGAAGACATGACTGTGAATTTTTGACTCTTGAACTGGTCTTATGAAGTATTGCATTTACAAAAATGCAAATGTGATATGATTTTACTTCTTAATCCTATATGAAGTCTTTTGGATTTCTGTTCTAAATAACAAACAGACCCCTTAATTTTGGTCTAAACCATTCTCTCTTATGAGTTTGCACAGAGTGGGACTATATTGGCGTAAATGATTCAGAGACCTGGAAGTTAGAATGGGGAAAAATGCAGTGTGTGTTCTATGTTGGATTCTCCCCAGAAAATGGGACCCTGTCCCATCAGAACTCAGTCTAATAGAATCATAGAGTTGGAAGGGGGCATACAGACCATCTAGTCCAACCCCCTGCCCAATGCAGGACCAGCCTAAAGCATCTCTGACAAA